GCACTTGTGCTCCAGACCCTTCCCCAGCCTCGTTGCCCTTCTCTGGACCTGCTCCAGCCCCTCAATGTCCTTCCTGAACTGAGGGGCCCAGAACTGGGCACAGCACTCGAGAACTATCTGCTATTCATTACCAAAGTGTTGGAGATTTCTCATTAAACGAGATCTGTTTAGAGCTTGGCTCAGTTACCACAGAAATTCCTCTGAAAGTGAGGATGAAGTGAGCTGTGTGCTGAGGAGAGCTCTGTGTGGCACAGAATCCTGGGATAGATTGGGTTGGAAGGGACCTTAAAACTCAACTCATTCCAACCCCCTGCCATGGTCAGAGTCATCTTCCACTAGACCAGGTTGCTCCAAGCCCCATCCAACCTGACCTTGAATACTTCCAGGGGTAGGGCAGCCACAGCTCCTCTGGGCAACAGGCCTGTGGTGTCCTCCATCAGGCTCACTGTAGGTGTCGTGTCCTGGTTTAGTCTCATCCAGGAGGGTGAGCAGGGCTTCCTACCTCTTGGAAAGAGAGAGAGGGCTTGGCATGGACAAGCAAGCTGCCAGGAGGGTCACCATGCCCTGCAGACCAGCTGGGCTGATGCTGCTCCCACTTGGCACCAGCTGGACTTTCTCATTGCAGCACCCCTGCATTGATCCAGATAAATCTTTCATGGGAAGGCTTTTCCACTCCTGGCTCTTATCTCCAGTCAGCCCTCAGACTGCTCTCTTGCTGTGTCAGCTTGCACCCATCTCTGCCCAGTAGTGAGGAGCCCCAGAGTCAAAACCCTGCTGAGATGTCCGAGCACTGAGGTTGGTTTTGAATACAGAGGAAAGCACTGGCAACAGCCAAGAGTGGCCCAAGCCTGTTGCTTGAAAATTCATGTAGATTTGGAGATGCCTTGGGGTTACTCATGTTTCCCTGGTGCCTCCTCTGTGGTTTGCCCAGGTTGTTTTGCTGGTGCCTCCTCCGTTTTCCTCCTAGAAAATAATGAGTTACTGGATCTGACCTGGGATCCAAATAAGGTGAACTGCACCAATGGGTTCTGGGGGAAACAAGGTATTTGCTAAAAACAACTCTAGCTTTGCTCACTGATGCCCAGACTCTTCTTGGGAAAGTCGTAGTGATCACTGCTTGCCCTTGGAGCTCTGAGACCTCATTCTCTTTTTTGGACAGCCCAGACTCTGTAAGTGCCACTTTCTGCATCAGGCCTTGACCCCCTCTTACCCCTCTTCCTCTCTCCAAATGTTGCCACGTGCCTGTAGCTGTGTGGACCCCTCTCTGTCCCCACATCCTCCTCAATAACCTGTCACACCCTGCTCTGCTGCAGGAGGTACCTACCAAGTGCTGCTCCCCACAGGTACCTGGACACACTGGAACGAGCTCTGGCTGCAGGAGAACTGGTTTTGATTGAAAACCTGGAGGAATCTGTGGATCCAGTGTTGGGACCGTTACTGGGGCGAGAAACAATCAAGAAGGGCAGGTGAGCTGGGGAGGAGGGGTTGGTGGCACATGTGGGTGGGGGCTGGGGGTGTTGTGCTCTCTGTTCCTCACCTCAGATCGTGGCTATTCAGATCCAGCAGCAGTGACATCCTGCCTTCAGGGGTGAAGGCTTTTTAAATCAGGCAATCACAGGTAATTCAGACACAGGATGGCTTGAAAATCAACCTGGATTTCTCATTTCGTTGCACAGTGTCATTCAAACCTCATGTGAAAAGAGAGACCTGTAATTGTCTCCCTGTGTAGTGACCACTGTCCTGACACTAAATTATTACCAAAATAGCTCTTGCTGTTGTGGAGTAAAAGTAGCCTTGAATTTTAGCAAACACTGCACAGAGTTCAGGAATACAGCTCCAGGTTTGAGCATTAAGGATATAAAGTGTTTCTTAATTAGGTCAAGTTCTCCATGGCAGCTCTGGGCCCCTCCAGCCCAGAGGAGGTCAGAGACAGGGGCAGCACTTTGTCCTTGAGTTCTTAAGGATTATTTCCTTACTTGCCTAAAATACCCCAGGGTGTTGTAAACTGCTGGGCAAGGCAAACTGTCTGCAAAGTGTGGAGGGGAAAACACCATGAGAAGGGTGGCTGAGTGTGGGTTTGGTTGCACGATGGAGAGGGAAAATCAGTCCCAGGGAAGGGATTGAAATACTGAAGAATGTTGCGTTGGGGGTACAGCAGTGAGGGTGCCAATCCTCATCCCCCCTCCAGTGAAACACCTTTTGGGGCTGTATGTGTCTGCTCTCAGAACTCCCTGTGGGATCACGTGCTTCCTAAGAAAAGGGAAATAAATTATAAATCACATAGGAAGTCCATGGGATTCGTGTTTCCAGGCCATGAGCCCAGACCCCATGGACAGACGCTGTCAGTCCCACAGTCCCTGTGGTTCCTGTACTGGGTGGTTTCTCTCTGCCTCTGTTTCACAGCTGCAAAAGTAACTGAGAGGCCAAGAGGACACCAAGTGAGTGATGTTTGGCTGGGAAGAGTGTTCAAACTCCCCTGAGAATGTCACCGTTCCTGCAGCAGTCCCAGTGCAGCCCTGAAAGTGTTTCTGGTTTCTCTTGGTCTCTGGTTCCCATGGGCTTTGTTAATATAGAATCATAGAATGGTTTGGGTGGGAAGGGACCTTAAAACTCACCCAGTCCCACCCCTGCCATGGGCAGGGACACCTTCCACTACCCCAGGTTGCTCCAAACCCCGTCCAACCTGGCCTTGGACACTTCCAGGGATGGGGCAGCCACAGCTTCTCTGGGCAACCTGGGCCAGGGCCTCCCCATCCTCACAGGGAAGAATTTCCTCCTTTTATCCCATCTAACCCTGCTCTCTTTTAGTTTGAAACCATTCCCCCTTATCCTGTCACTCCAGTTCCTGATGAACAGTCCCTCTCCACCTTCCCTGTGGCCCTTTAAGATACTGGAAGAACACAATTAGGTCTTCACAAAACCTTCCCTCTTCCAGGCTGAACAGCCCCTGCTCTCTCAGCCTGTCTCCATAGTGAGGTTTCCAGTCCTCTTATCAGCTTCATGGTTTCCCCTGGACTCCAACAGTTTCATGTCCTTTTCATGCTGGGGAACACTGTACCCAGTGCTTCAGGTGGGGCCTCACCAGGGCAGTAGAGGGGGAGAATCCCCTCCCTTGACCTGCTGCCCACACTGCTTTTGATGCAGCCCAGGATTTGTTTGGCTTTCTGGGCTGGGTTAAACTTGGGTTCAGAGCATATTGCTGTGACCTTTAGTCTTCATGTCAGAAGTCCAAAACAGGAGGAGATTGGGTTTTCCTGGGAGATGTTACCTCCTTTGAATAGCCACCAGTAGCTCTCCAAATGTGGCTTCACTGCTCAAGCTCAGTGCAACTGCAGAGTTGGCCTGATCAGAGCCAACAGGCTGGGCAATTCTAGATGTGACCAATGAAAAGGTACCACAGATTTATCACAGAGTATTCTGGATTGGGAGGAACCCACAAGGGTCATCGAGTCCAGCTCTTAAGTGAATGGCCCATGTGAGTATCAAACCCATGACCTCATTGCTGAGAGGCTTTTCCTCCCTGTAACTCCAACCTTAAGGTAGAATTCAGCCTCTCTCAATAGCCAGGAGGGTTCATGGTTGGAGTGGCCATGCTGCTGCTGGAAAATGTGAGCCTTCTCAAACAGGATCCAAGATGCAGAGGCAGCTTTCTGGGACTTTTCTTCTAGATCAGCAGTGACTCAGCTGTCACTGCCAATTTTTAATACTTTTTGCTCTAATAGTGATTTGTGTGTCGAGTCCCAGGTCCTGGTAGGTGACACTGACCGAGACCTCCATGAACCCCCTCCTGACTCGTGTTCTAATTGCAGGTACATCAAGATTGGGGACAAAGAGTGTGAGTTCAGCCCTGCTTTCCGCCTCATCCTGCACACCAAGCTGGCAAACCCCCACTTCCCCCCCGAGCTGCAGGCCCAGTGCACCCTCATCAACTTCACCGTCACCAGGGACGGGCTGGAGGAACAGCTGCTGGCGGCCGTGGTCAGCATGGAGAGGCCTGACCTGGAGGAGCTCAAGGTCAGGAGCTGCACTTTACACTGGGAGCAACAATAAATAATAATAATAATAATAATAATAATAACAATAACAATAATAATAATAATAATAATTATTATTATTATTATTATTATTATCTCCTTCTTCTGCTTCTGCTGCTGCTGCTTCTGATTCTTCCACTTCTGCTTCTTCTTCTTCTTCTGCTCCTTCTTCTTCTTATTATTGTTGTTATTGTTATTATAATCTTCATCATCATTGTTATTGTTATTGTAACGTAAAAAAACCAACATTTCACCTAGAAGGTTACCGAGATTACTAAGCTCATCGTAAAATCAGGAGATTTCCCTCAAATTGAAGATTTTTTTTCCTTCACTCTTTTGTTTTCTAGGTATTTTGGCAACATTTGTATTGCAATTTCAAGTTTTTTCTCCCAAAATTTGGGCACGAGTCACTTTATTTTCCTTCTCCTCCTGTGACTG